GACCGGGTGGGGGGGGGGGTTTGAGGGATGGGCAGGGAGGATGGGACATCCTTATGACCTACAGAGGACAAGGTGTCCTCCTGCCCTGTGTGGTGACAGCTCTGCCCAGATGCCTGTCTTCCTGGTCTGTTCAGGCTCTGGGTGAGAAGGGTGGGGTAAGAAGGATGGTGTCTGGGAAACGCAGCGGCTGCACTGCCCTCTGCTCGCTGGCTTGTGTTCTCTGCCTCATCAGTGAACTCCTGGGGTCACTTCAGTTTTGTGAGTCCTCTGTGAGCCTCCGGCATGTTCCTAGCATCTGTCAGGGTTGTGCCTGAAGGGTCTGGCCTGTGGGGGATTGTCTTGATGCCAGATAGCTGCAGCAGAGCGTCATGTCTCCATGAGGAGTTGTTTGTGTGTCCCCAGTGCACTGCAGTGCCCAGTGGAAGGGTGGGAGTCTGGGTCTTGAGGCAGGAGCATTGCAGGAGGAGAGTCAAGGGGAGGCTGCCCTGCTTTATCTTACAAGGTGGGGAAGACAAGACTGGAGCATTGAGCTGGCAGGGTGTGGGGCCTCAGGACACCTCCTCTTGCCATGGGGAGGAGCAACAGCTAACCAAGCCCTGTGTTCTTCTTCAAGGAGGGAGATGCAAGGGCAGATTTGCCCAGGGCGCATCCCATGCCCCTGTCACTCATTCTCTTTTCCTGCCTGATCCTAATGAGCCTCTACCCTCCTATGCAGACCTTGTCTCCTGAATTACCCAGGAAGCTACTGAAAACAGATCCTACCACAACTATGAGTGATGTGTCAAAGCCCTGTTCTGACCCTCTTCTCCCCAGCCCTCAAGGTCACTGGTGAGGAGAGACAGCCTGAGAATGCACGTCAGAGCCCCCTCCCTTGCTGCCTGCTGCAATGCATCCCTCTAGCGCCCACCTGGAGGTGGGGGGGGGCTGGGCTCTGACGTCACTGAGAGCCAATGGGAGCACTCTACCCTGGGATGAGGGGCTGACTCGGCTCTGGCCCTTGAGACATGCTCCCACTGTAGTCAGCACCCTGAGGGGTGGGGATGCTCAACTTCTGTCAGACAACCTGGGTCTTAACTCCTCAGCCCAGGGCTGAGGAGGATGAGGTTGAAAAGAAGTTGTTGGGAACATTCAGTCAAGGTCACTGTCTCAGGACAAGACATGTGGTTTGCATCACTCCCTTAGGTCCTCATGACCTGGTCAAAGCCAGTGCTCTCCACCTAGGAAGTGCACCTTCCTTAGCAAGGCCAGTGCTGTGACTGATGGTATCTGCCTAGAGAGGACTTGGGCGGCCATGTCAGGGAAGGGAAGGGAATGTAGAACACCTTGGTAGCAGGGTAGAAATCCCTGTGTCCTTGCAGAGCATGATCAGACCCACTACAACAGAGAGCTGCCCCTCTGTTGGCCGTGTGGTGCTTTTACACTGCGCACCTCAGGCCCCACCCATCCCTTCCTCTAGAGATGAGAGAACAGTGGAGCGTATCAGGGACCCCAGAGGAGAAAAGCAGCTGGCTGGGGTGGGGGCAGCCTGCTTACGAGGTAGATCCCTTGGGTGGACCTCAGCCTCCCCCCAGAAAACGCTTCCCTTGGTGCAGAGCCCTAAGCTGACATCTTGTCAGCCCTGGGCTTGACCTTGGGCAAGTCGATATGTGTATTCCTGTAGAGCGAGCTATAGACGGCTGGGGTCCAGTGAGGAATAAATGAGGTGTCATATGACAAGCACCAGTGAGCAGGAAGCTTTTCTTGGTCGAATGGGTCCTGAGGGAGGGACAGGCCTGGGAAGCTGTGTTGGGCCTGGGCCTGAGTGAGGACCACAGGGTGATTGATACTCAGGCCTCCCAGCAGAGTGTGGGTCCCAGAGTGTGGCCTGTGGTCATGGGGTTATCACCACATTTCCTTCTGGAGGCCCAGTCTGAACAGTGAACCTCTGATACCGCACCCAAAAAGGCTAGTCTGTGGGAAGCTGGCTTTGTCATACACATCTCCCTTAACCTGAAACCAGTGTCCCTGTCTGCAAAATGGAATCTAGGTCCCCTCCATCTTGAGTGGCAGGTCATTTGCCACTCAGTCATTTGCTGTTTCTCTTCTGTTGGGGACAGTAACACCAGCTCCAGCTCTGGGCCACTGGCAGTGGTATCAGGACCCTGTGGTAGAGGGTCTCTGACCAGTGTATTGTGTTTCCTGACTGAGGGATCCCAGGAATGACCTGTTTGCAGAGGTCAATCAACAAGGTAGCCCCTCAAGGTTCAGGGTTGCCAGCTACAACAGCCTCCTTCTCTGGGCCGTGTCTACATGCTGTGGCTCCCACAGAGTCTCTGAGGGATGATTTGAGAAGCTGCCTGCCCTGCTCAGAGTCACACATAACCAGGTCCCTCCTAAAGGACTAGACCTGAGCAACAAAGCCAAGGGCACGGGCTTGGGACCTGGGAGTAGGGACTGCAGAAGACCTTGGGGGTAGGCATGACTAGCCCGGTCCTGCCTGAGGAAGGTCATGGACATGTGTACCACAGGGCAGGGGATTTGAGGGAGCAGGAATGAGGACAGGTGTGTGCATTGGGAGAAGAATGTGGCTGACAGGGAAACATTTGCTGTGGATTCTAGGTGGGGTGGCAGAGGCCATTCTGCAGGAAGGGGACAAGGAGCTTGGGCTGGGGTGGCAGAGCCCTTTTGGGAAGGCTGTGTGAAATGGAGAAAGCTGGCCTCCCAGGACCCCGTGGCCGGCTGGATGCAGAGCAAGGGGCAGGGCAGGGGCAGGGAATCTGGACTGTTCTGGGATGAACACCTCTGAGGAGGAGGATCCACTTGTCCTCTGTGGAATGATGAGGGAATAGACACCTTGACTAGGGGCTCTACCACCTCATTCCCCAAGAACCAGAGTTTCCAATGCCGCCTGCTCCCCCCACCAGGAACATGACATCGAGACGCCTTATGGTCTTCTGCATGTGGTGATCCGGGGCTCTCCTAAAGGGAACCGCCCAGCCATCCTCACCTACCATGATGTGGGCCTCAATCGTAAGTGCAGCTATGCCCTGATCCACTCTGCCTAGCCCTTTCTTGAACAGCCGAACTCCTCCCCTCCACGAATGCTCTCCTTCAGGTCTCAGTTCCCCATCCCCTCTGTGGCTCAGCCTCTGGCCTGGGATTCCCCACCGGACTCTGAAGCCCCCTGGCCCCTGGCATCCTTGATGCCTGTCCTCTGTTTTCGCCCACTAAGAGGTGTATCTTTGCAGACAAGCTTTGCTTCAACACCTTCTTCAACTTTGAGGACATGCAGGAGATCACCAAACACTTTGTGGTGTGCCATGTGGATGCCCCTGGACAGCAGGTGGGGGCGTCACAGTTCCCTCAGGGGTAGGTACCCTCAGAGTCTCTTCACTCGCTCCAGCCCTGTGGCCTCAACTGTACCCAGGTCCTGAATTTCCACTCTGCCCACAGGTACCAGTTCCCTTCCATGGAGCAGCTGGCTGCCATGCTCCCGAGTGTGGTACAGCACTTTGGGTGAGTCCCTCCTAGGCCTCCCCGACTCTGGACTGGGGATAGGGGATAGGAGTTGCTGCACCACTACAGTTAGCTTGGCTTCAGCTAAGGTCTGAGGGTGGTGGGTGAGACCTGCTCTAGCTGAGTTTCACGGGAAATGACATTCCAGCCATAGAGTGATCAGCTCTGCTCTATTACAGGTTCAAATACGTGATTGGCATTGGCGTGGGAGCTGGAGCCTATGTGCTGGCCAAGTTTGCAGTGAGTTTCCCGCCCTCACAGAGGATCCTAGTCCAGGCCAAGAGGGTGATCCTTGGGCCACAAAGGGCTTTCTTTCCCTGCTCTTCCTCTTCCTCTTTTTCCTTCCCTTTTGCTGAGAAAAGAAACTCTTGCCCCTTTTTTTCCCTCCATGGAAATTAATGAAAGGGAGGGCGGGAGGGAGGGAGGGAAGGAGGAGAGAAGTGCTAGGGGTGTGGCTCTGATAGTGTTTGCCTTGCACTCATGGGGCTCTAGTCCCTCCCCTAGCATCACACAAAAATAAATGGACTGGAGAGATGGTTTAGCAAGCAAAGCACCTGCCGCACACTCTGGACTCCTGAGTTCAAGCCCTGGACCCCACATAAGGGAGGAAGGCGAAAAGGGAATCTGTAGAGTTGTGACAGGCCACACACACACACACACACACACACACACACACACACACACACACACAGAGTAAATGAGTAATTAGAATAAATCAGAAAAGGGAGTGTGTGTCTCTCTACCCCTCTTCCCCATGCATTGCTTCAGAAGACTGTTAGCTACTCCTTGCTTAACCCTTCTTCAAAGCCGTATTCCTGTTAGTGAAAACTAACTTGTCACTCTGCCCACCAGCCAGCACAGGTTGTCCCCAGCGGATGAGATACCATATGGGCACAAATGACCTTTTAACCCAACACTGCACTTACGTTCAGGTTCTGAGGTTTAAAGAAAACCACATTTTAGAAATAGCAGGCTAGGCAGGAAAGCCTTTATCTCTAAAGCCAGGAGCTGCTTTAGGACTCAAACATTTATTGTTGAAAAAGAAGTAGAACTTTCACCTCCAGTTTCTGTTCTACACTGAGCCATTTTGTTAGCTGTAGACTACTCCAGACCCTGCAGACACTGTGTGTGTATGTGTTTGTCACCTGTTCTCTATACATGCCAGGCCGACAGTTGAACAGAAGACCCCTGTCACAGTCAGCACAAAGCTGGCTTTGGAAAGGTCTCCGTCTTGTCTTCTACCCTAGGGTCTTCAGCCATAAAAAGCAAGGAAGGAAACAGCCTGTTCTAAGATTTTATTTTTATTTATTTATTTTTTGTTTTTCAAGACAGGGTTTCTCTGTGACTTTGGAGGCTGTCCTGGAACTTGATCTGTAGACCAGGCTGGCTTCAAACTCACAGAGATCCACCTGCCTCTGCCTCCTGAGTGCTGGGTTCAAAGGCATGTACTACCACCATCCGGTTCTGTGTTAAAATTTTAAGATGGGGCCAGCAAGCTGGCTCAGCAGGTGGAAGAGCTTGCCATCAAACGTGACAACCTGAATTTGGTCCCCTGAACCTACATGGTAGAAGGGGAAAACCAACTCCCACAAGGGTCTTGCTTCATATGAGAATGTACACACACACACACACACACACACACACACACACACACACGCATGCACGCACGCGCACACACACACACAAATGAAGAAATATAAAAAAAATTACAAGATTTGAAGATGTTTAATATTCAGTTTTGCAACACCTTCAAAAACATATTAAAAACATTGGAACTGTGGCTTCATGATAGAGCATTTGTCTGGCACAGTGATAGGACTCTGGGTCCCATCCCCAGAACCATGCATGCATACATACATACATACATACATGTTAAAAAGGGTAAAAAGCTGCTGTAATGGATTCTACCTGAATCAAATAATTTTTAGGGATGGGCAGAGAAGAGGAGTAGTGAGGCCTCTGGAATGGGAGCCCTGTACCAGACCAGGCACACATTTGGCCCATCTGTGATATGTTGAAGACTTCACCAAGCAAGAGTTTTATGGCCTATTTTCCTTTTCCCCTTGCCCTACAGCTCATTTTCCCTGACCTGGTGGAGGGGCTGGTGTTGATGAACATTGACCCCAACGGCAAAGGCTGGATTGACTGGGCCGCCACCAAGGTGAGCACCAAGCCCATAATGCCTGTCTGTGGGAGCAGTGACCTGGGACAGCCTCACTCTGGCTTTCTCTCCCTCTTGCAGCTCTCTGGCTTGACCAGCACTTTACCAGATACAGTACTCTCCCATCTCTTCAGCCAGGTAAGGGGATCCTCAGGAGCAGGGGCTTGCAGGCTGGGGCTCAGCCAGCACAGACAACTGCTGCAGGCTGAGCCAGGCTGGGTCATAGTGTCCTCTGAGGTGGCCAGTGGGAAGTCTTTCCACACCAGAGGCTCCTCCTCTGCCTTCCAGACCACTCCTGCTAGGAGTGGGGCTAGCAGTTCTGTAGGTGACTCCCACATGCCCTCTCCGAGCCCTAAGTCCCTCCCTCCTGTGTGTACCCCCTCCTGTCCTCCCATGCCCAGGAGGAGCTGGTGAACAACACAGAGCTGGTGCAGAGCTACCGGCAGCAGATCTCAAACGTGGTGAACCAGGCCAACCTGCAGCTCTTCTGGAACATGTACAACAGGTGTGGGGGGTCTCCATGCCCCATGGGAGGGGGCAGGGCAGACAGTGCCATCCCTGCTTGTAGAGGAGCTGATTTTGAAGTCTGGGGGAGGCCAGTTTGTTGCCCAGGGTGTGGCCTCTTTGGAGTTAAGGGGTTGGAGACCGTGTCAACAGCACCCGTGGTCCCCACTGCAGGACTAGGTGCTTAGCCCTGTATCTTTGCTTTTGTAAACTTTTCCTAAAGAAGCTCCTGCTGGAAAAACTGCAGTGAGGAAGAGACCTGGATGCAAATATTGAGTAAGGGTTGTATGTGTGGTCCTGGAGCAGGGTTATCCAAGATGGAAATGGCACAGACACTGGAGCACATACCTGACACAGCTTGAGGGTTCTGGAAGGGAGTCATGATAAGGGTAGCCCACAGGGTCCTGTGTAGACACAGCAAGTCCATGACTCCCAGGTTTACAAGTTGGCAGTGTTGGGATCCAGCCCAGGATGCCCCCCTTTACTTTTGCTCCTCCCCCACAGCCGCAGAGATCTTGACATTAACCGGCCTGGGACTGTGCCCAATGCCAAGACACTCCGGTGAGTGACTCCTGCCCTCCAGCCTGTCTTCCTAGCCTTTGTCCCTAAACCCAGGCCAGACGACCCTTGTCCTCTGTCTCACAGTTGCCCTGTGATGCTGGTAGTCGGAGATAATGCACCTGCTGAGGACGGGGTGGTGAGTGTGGCTCTCTGGGCTGAGTGGGGGGTTAGAGTCTGGGGCAGGCCCTGAATGATGGGTTTCCCAGATACTCTTCTGCCACCTGGTCACACATCAGGGTCTGACCACCACCCCCTCATTGTGCAGGGGAAGAGGCCTGGTGAGTGGATGGAGCTAAGACTAGGGCCATGTGGCCTGGCATTCCCTCCTCGCTCTCACAGTGTAGCCTATCCCAGTCTCCATACACTTTCAGTTTAGAGCCCAAGGCCTACTTCTTCCAAAATCTAAGCCATAAGTGGCTCATAGACATCAATACTCACCCTGGAGCCCCCCAGGCCCCCAGGGTGGGGCAGTGCTTGAAACTGCTCCCGTTGGCACTCTAGCAGTAAAGCAGTCTCAGTTGCCAGCCCAGGGGTGTTCAGAAGATATCAGACTTTCAAGGGCTCACGAGGAAGACTGCAAGGGCAGGGTGTAGGCTGCACTAGCTATCGTGACCCAGGCAGGGCCCCAGTGTCATCTTGACCCTAACAATGCCCAGATCTCTGGTACATCCTGCTAATGTCACCCTGGCCTTCTGGGTCAAAGCCTTGCCCCATTGCTGCTCCACCTGCGGTTATGAGTGGAATTTCAC